GTTTTAATCTTGTGGGATATGTATTTTCTCGCGTTTGGGAATTCACGCGGTGTTTGCAGTTTGGTATTTGGGTGTTACAGCATAGCATGCTTCTGCATGCTGTTATTTGTATTATCGTAAGGCATAGCTTACTTTACAGTCACTCGACGGCATCTCTCTTAGCAAATCGTACGTTTTGCTTTATTTTTCTATTGCAAATTTTGTTCGCTTCCGCTTTTAGCTTTCTTCCTTTCTTGATATGCTCTAGTTTGTGCTTATTGAAGTCGTTTGCTTAGCGTGCTTTAGACATTTTCTCGAGAGGCTTTTTCTTTTTATTAATTCACGTTTAATTTTTCCACATATCTCTGTTCAGTGTGCAGCTTTAATTTATTGTTATAGATTTATAATGATAGTGTTAGTTTCTCTGACATGAATTGTAAGTGCCTTATTTGTAATTTTAAGTTATTTAAATCACGCTGTTAGTTCTGCCGACCGCTTTGCTGTAGTTGTTTTTTGCAATTACTGTCTAATAAACGAGATGCCTATTCCTGAGCTTGTAGATTGAAACCAACTAGCATTAGGAATGTGAGAACACATTAAAATTCAGTGCTCTAAAATTTGAACACAAATTAATAATTGATCCTATATGTTTATAGAAGAAAGAAAGGATCCAGGCCATGGCAGCTCGAGACAAAGCAATGAACACATGGTCGAAGGGAAAGGGAGTTAAAGATCAAGTGAGTGATGACGAGGAATCAGGAAAAGATGAAGAGATATCTATGGCTTCAAAAGTTAGGAGGAAAAGGAGAAGAACAAGTGAGGCTCTACAATTTCTTCAAGTCAGATCTGAAAAAGAGGCAGAAGCTAGGAAAGAAGAAATAAGTTTTAAGAAGGAGATGGCTGAAAAGGAAGCAGAAGCCAGGAGGGAGGACATTGCCCATAAACGAGAGATGGCTTCCCTTGAAGCAAAGCGCCAGGATCTTATGCAGCAACAGTTACAAATGCAACAGCAACAAACGCAGCAAATGCAAACATTAATGCTTGCAGTTGTATCTAAACTAAACCAAAATGATAAGTAGCTTTGTTCATGCCGTGCACTTGTTGGATTTTCATTAGTGGACATTGAAGTAACAATTTAAGGACAGTGAAATTTAATAACCCAAAAACTTTCTTTTCAAACATGGGTTTGTTGTTTGTAAAGTGTCTTCACATTAAAGTTGTGTTTACATAATTGAAGCAGTGAGTCTCAATTCCCCTGACATCTGCCTCATCAAAGTTCTCCGCTACCTTTTAGGATAATTATATGACATTTCTATGCCAAGTATTGCAACAGTGAGGGGGGTTCCACCTCAAAAAAAGTTGGAAGTTGTATTTCCATACAAACATGTGAGGATGTTCCTGAAAAGAACACTTACAATGTATTGTTTACCTACTGCACTCATCCCAAGTTTGAGATTTTTTTTATAATCTATGAATTTAAAGCTTTCAGCTTTATCGCTAAAAAGCCACTCTACGGATACCCTAACTTCACTCATGGCCTTATTAAACGCCCTCATCTGTGGGGTCAGTGGGTTGTCACGGTAGGGACCCATCAAATGTGGTCGAAGAGGATACGCAGGATCTCCATAAAAGCAAAGAATGGCTCCAGTAGGTGTAACTGCCCTTCTTTGTAAGATGTTGAGAAGCCCTGATTCTTTAAGCATCCCAGCATCATGACGCCGTCCTTCAACGGGTCCATATAAGTTAGCAACTAAACCACTGGGGATGACAACTGCCTGAAACTTAAGGGCGTGCACACGTTTGTGACCATTATACACCACGCGCTGGTTATCACCAGGTCTTGAAATTTGACGTACAGTTCCGTCCACAAAACCAAAACAATTTTTCAGAGGACTCCCTTTTCTTGATATAGCTTGTGCATAAAGCTGAAGATTAGCAGGCGATAAAAACGGCTGGTTGTTCCACGAAGTTAGTCGGTGAGAATGGTTTTCATAAATCCAGTTGAGGACTGTATTACTAATCATGCAAAGCTCCGGCACTGGACGGCCAAAACGGTGGATTAGATCATGGTAAGGGCAAGGGTAGGCTAGTCGTTTTAAAAGTAAACATAGTCCTTCTTCACCTGAACAAACTAGATTGAAAGAAACATATTTATTTAATTGCTGTCAAATATGCTTTAGTTTTGACATTTAATGCATTTAGTATTCATTGATCTCAGTTATGAAAACGAAATGAGACAAGTTAATTTGTGGACAGCTTTACCTGTTCCTTGAGGGCATCGAAAATTTTCTGGGACCTGTAAAGCGTTAACCAATAAAGGGATATCTTCTTTGTCTACTCTAAATTCAGCTCTAGCTTCACTGCTGTCAAAGTTATCGAGGCTGAAAGGCTCGTATTCCCAGTGAGGAAAATTTAAATTTGTGGACTCGTACTCTTCGTAAAGAATAAGAAACTCTTCTTCACTGATCACTCCATCAGAAAAAGCGCAAACTAAGGCTTCACGAAGTTCATGAAATGACAT